CGCGCCCTACTCAGCAGCCCAAGCAGTGGCGGGGCTGGGGGAGGCAAGGGGCGGGAGGGAAGGCGGGCTACTGACCCCAAGGCGCTGCAACGGGGGGCACGCGCACGCAGGACCGGCCTTTAACAACGGCCCGCTGCCTCCCGCAGCTGGGGGTAGTGACGGGGGATCAGGGGCGGGGCGGGGATCCGCCGTGGCATGGAGGAAGCGGGACCTCAGGGAATCGGGACCTCCCCATCGGGCGCAACTCTTCATCCTGAGCCAGACTTCGATGGTCCCGGTGCACGGGGCGGGCTCTGCCCGAACACTGCGAAAAGCATCCGGACCCGTCTCCCTCGGGACGCGTTCCCAGACATCCGACGATGTGTTTCAGCGCGCGGCCCCAGGCGTCCCGACCCCTTCACCAGTGCTAGAGTCGGGCTGCCGAAATAGGGAATGCGAAATGAGGAACGAAGCCCTTTTTTGGCCCCGAAGGCGCCTGCGTGGACGGGACGAAGAACGCTCGAGAAACGGCCATGGAAGACCTGAGGAACATCGAGCCCCTTCCGAAACCAAACTGTTCCTTATTTCAGAGTCTTGGCTGCGGTGTTTCGTCCCAGATCCATTCTTGATGGCTCCAGGGCCCGATGGCGGGCCTTGGAGACCGAAATCGAGGAAAACCGCCGGACTGAAAAAACACGTCGCCGGAGATCTGGATTCGCTTCATGGCGACTGCCGCTGCTTCCGCTGGCCTTCGCCAGCCGTCCACTTGCAATGCTTTTTGTTGAGCAGGGACCGACCGTCCCGGCATTCCTATAGGCCTACCACGAAATATTCTTCGATCATAAGAAGCTGACACGCACAACGAACATTTACTTATGACATACAGCCGACGAATCCCATCAGCCCTCTGGGCGTAGGTGGTTTAAGGAATTTCCTCATCCACCCCCCTTCTTCCCCTTCGGGGAAGGGTTTACCCCTCCCTGGCGCGGCTGGAGTGTGCGGCACACCTGGCGCACTCGGAGCACGTGGCGCATCTGGCGCACCAGGCGTGCCTGCCACGCTCGGGCCCGGGGGTGCCTGGCGCGCGTGGCGCCCCTGGCACGCGTGGCGCACCTCGCCCAAGCGTCGCGCACATGGGGTCGGCTTTGGTTCCCAGTAGCTGCACATCCAAAGACGATCGCTGAACATGCTCAGGCTCGGGTGTTACTTATGAGTAGGGGGGGCGGGTGGGAGTGAGCTAGACGGCTTGCGGGCGGGTGGGTAGCTTGACCCCTCCCTGTACCACCTCCCCTGGATCTGGACGGGCGGTGCCGCGCCCCATTGGAGCGTCCAAAACGGCCTCGGCGAGGAAGCCCAAATCATTAGTGTTACTAGGGTTTGGGCCCCATTTTGGCCGCTTGGGGGAGAGGCTAATTAAAGCTCCCCTCTTCTTTGATCGATGTCCTCCAAGATCGCCCCAAGAAGCGCCCAGGAGGCCCCAAGAGACCCCAAGATGGTCCCAAGATGACCTTAAGAGGCCATCAAGAGGCCCCCAGGAGGCCCCCAAGAGGACCCCAGGTGGCCCCAAGAGGCCCCTCCGAGGCACCCAAGACACCAAAGAGCCCCCAGGACCGCCAAGAGACCCCCAAGACGCTCCAAGATGCCACCAAGAAGCGCCCAAGAGATATCCCAAGAGTCTCCAAGAGGCATCCAAGCGACCTCTGGCCTGTTTGGTTACCCTCCTCCTCCTGCTCCTCCTTCCTCCTCCTACGCCTTCTGTCCTCCTCCTCTTCCTCCTCCTCCTCATCCTCCTCCTCCTCCTCCTCCTCCTCCTTCTCATCATCATCATCATCAGCAGCATCATCATCTGCACCTCCTCCCCGCCCTCCTCCTTCTCACTCCGCTCCTCTCATCACATCATCATCAGCATTCATCATCATCTTCAGCATCATCAGCATGCATCATCATTATCACCATCACCATCATCATCAGCATCAGAAGCATCAGCATCCACATCATCATCATCATCATCATCCATCTTCATCATCATCATCATCATCATCATCATCATCATCATCATCATCATCATCATCATCATCATCATCATCATCATCATCATCATCATCATCATCCTATTCATCCTCCTTCTCCCAACTTCCTCATCCATCCATCCATCCATCCATCCATCCATCCATTCAGCCAGCCAGCCAGCCTCATACTTCTCCTCCTCACTCCTTCGCACGGTTCGGCCGTCCCCCTCTTTGCTCCCGCACTTCGCTGATCACCTCAACTCGCCTGGATATCGTTTCTGGATGGGCTGGTCGGGGTGCGCGAAGCGCCTAGAATGAAAACCATCCTGTCTCGGCCTGAAATGTTCGGAGAACACCCCGTGCAAACCATGAGAAGTTCCGAGAATATGCCCTGGTGGGCCTAGAGGCCAGTCAGGACGCCTCGCCACTGCTAGAGTTCTCGACGGCCCCGAGGCCCGGCGATGGCCCCCGGACGCCGACAATGACCCAAAACCTCCCGTGGTGGAATTTTCCACGACGCGAGCCTGCCTGGGCAGCGGCCCCCCGGCGCGCCGACAAGGCCGACAGCCAGTCTCTGCGCAGCAGACGGCCCGCAGTGCCCCGCGCTCCTCTTGATTTTCCTCCCCAGCTTCCAATGTTACAGCAGTGCCCCGCGCTCCTCGGCCGCCTCCTCCGTGCCGCTGGCGATCACGTCGCTGTCCGCGTCCGCCTGGTACGCGTCCCTGCGGCGCCGCCGTCGGCCACGACCGCCCGAGGTGGCAGCCGGAGGCGGGCCCCTCCCAGAGGCGGGCCCCCCCCCGAGGGGATCGACGACAGAATTGGCTGACCCCACACTTCATTTCCTCGTCGAGGGTACGACGAATGCGTAGGATGCTCGTAGATTTAGGTCGGGCGTGTCCCCCTACAGGCGGAGTTTGGCAGAAACATGAAGAATAGTCAAAAAATGTTCAAACATATTCAAACATCGCCCCCTGACAAATGTTCCCCCTGTAGCAGGACAGGGCCGACTTAAATCGTAGATCATGCCATAGATGGTTCGCAGGTCCGGCGAGAAAATCCACTTTGCGGGCAAATCGATGCTGTACAGCCGAAAAGATGATCAAGAACATCATCAACCAAGAAACCTGGGCCAGCTTCACGAAGCCTCCTCCAACGAAGCTGGGCAGCCTTGGCTTGTCCACGCTGGAGGGACGACCGTGCTGAAGAGAACCTGGGCCAGCTTTCAAGCAGGTGCTGGATAAGAAAGTGGGCCCAGCTTTTCGGGGAAAAATATGCGAACTCTAACGAATGGTTGAATTTCGAAAATTGACTTTTAACCGACCAAAAGTATGCAAAACTTCCGTCGAGATTTTCCGAGCCAACTAGTCCGCCAGCGCGCCCGAATTACTCTTAAGCTTCGCCGCTTCGCTCTTAGGGAAGTTCTACGAGTCACTTCGTATAACATCCAAAAAAAAACATTCTGCAAGTTTTGGGAGGTTTCTGAATCAGCTACTCGACCGCAGCCGATCCCCTGCTCGAAGACCGCTTCCAGGCGGGGTGGGGGGGCAGGGAGCCCGCGGGGCGCGCGCTCGCTCTGGAGACTGCCCGTCCTGCATGGAGGGAACCCCGATCGACAAATCCCGATATGCCGGCCGGCCAAAGCCAGACGACGAGGAGGAGGAGAGAGGAGGAGGAGGAGAGATAGGAGAGGAGAGAGGAGGGAGGAGGAGGAGGAGAGGAGGAGAGATGAGGAGGAGGAGGAGGAGGAGAGGAAGAGAGAGAGAGAGGAGAGAAGGAGGAGGAGAAACGAGGAGTAGGAGAAAAAAGGAGGAGGAGGAGGAGCGAGGAGAGAGGAGGAGCAAGGACGACGAGGAGGAGGAGGAGGAGGAGGAGGAGGAGATGAGGAGGAAGAGAAGGAGGAGGAGGAGGAGGAGGAGGAGGAGGAGGAGGACGACGACGACGAGGGAGCGTCGTGCCCCGGCTCTCCAACGTCGCGAAGTTTCACAACGTGGGCCCCCCGGGAGATCGGGATCCCTTCCCCGGGACCCGACCCTCATCCCGAGCCGTCCTGTGACGGTCCCTGGGCCCTGGCGAGGGCCACAGGGGAGATCCCGAGCTCTGGCTTTACCTCGCGCCGCGAAGCTCCAGGACGAGAGAAGGCACGGTCGTGCTGCGCAGTGGCCACTGGCTTTAGCTCGGGCGTGTCCCCCCTGCAGGCGGATTCTGCACGAGAAACGAAAAATCGTCAAAAAAGGGTCGAACGTGGTCAAAAAATAGTCGAGGCATCGTCCCCAGACTGTGTTTTGACTATCGTTGAGTATTCCCACCTGAAGGGGGGCGTGCCCGACTTAACGCTGGCTTAGAAACCGAGGCATTGAGGAGGCGGGGGGGGGGGGGGGGGGGGGCCGGGGTTGGGCGCCCAGTTATCCGGTAACTCCGGTCCGTACCCGGGTTGGAGTTCCGAAAAATAACCCGAGTGGTCCCTTAACCCAAAACGCCAGTTACCCCTGATGATTCGGGGCTCTGGACGCCCGAGTTATCCGGGGTAACTCGGGTCCAGGGTAACTCGGGTTTGGATTCCCGAAAAACGAACCCGAGTTATCCCTGACCCGAGTTACCCCTGATGATTCGGGGCTCAGAGGGGGGCCGAGCGTCGCGCAGCCGCTGCAGCCCGTGATGGCACACACGTCTCGTGTCACAGGTGTTCGCTCTGCGCGCACGGCGCGCGCACCCCCCCCCCCCGGCTGCCTGGGCGGGGCCGTTCTCTCCTCTCCCTTGTCCACATCGTCGTCGCCCTTCTCCTCCTCCTCCTCATCCTCCTCCTCCTCCTCCTCCTCGGCCTCCTCCTCCTCCTCGAACTCCTCGTCATCGTCGTCATCCTCCTCCTTCTCCTCTTCCTGCCCCCCCCTCGCACCAACTCCGGCCCCGCGCCCTCCCCCCACACTATTTCCCTTCAGCCAAGCCCCCCTCCCCCGTGGCTTTCTGGCCTTCCTCTGGCGCTGTCCGTTCTGTGAGCCACATGGGTTTAGTTGACCCAACACGGGGTCCAGCTGAAAGGGGGTGGTGCAATAGATTTCGGGCAGTTGTATTGCAAATGTATTGCGCCAGAAAATAATATCGGATTTACAGCAACTAATGCATAGCATGCGAAAATCCAGCAATACCATTTCGCACCAGAATGTGTTGCACGCCCCGGATCGATTGCAACCCCACAAATCTATTGCAACAAACTTATTGCACCACCCTCTTTTCGCTGGACATATTTCGGGGTCAACCAGGATGGGGAGAACCCTGCGCTGCTCCTGTCCCAAAACCTGCGTGAGGCGACGCCGAAAGAAAGCCGACTGCAGCCGAGCCGTAAGACGCTACCCCGCTGGACCCCCAGTCACGAGCGTGCCGACAGCTGCGCAATCGGCAGCGCTCAGCGAGGGAAGCAAGAGTTTGGACCTGCCGCAGGACGTCACTCCGCTGAGACAAGTGCGCATACATGGAGGCCTCCAAAAGGCTCAAGAGACCCCCACGCCCTGCGGGGAGATCTCTTCCATTCCCCGCTCGGTACCGAGGCCTCTAGACGCTGACTTCGAAAAACCTCCGGAGACATTGGAAAACAACACAAGTAGTCTCAAGAACTAATGACTCGGTGAGGACCTTTCTCTTGCGGCGCCTGCGAGCCCAGTCCGAATGTCAGGACAGGGCGCGGCCAGTCTTGCGCGGAAGGGGGCAGAGTGGACACGGCAACTGCGTCTGGGGGCGGAGGATGAAGCGGGCGGAGGAGGAGGAGGAAGAGAGAAAGAAGCAGCGGGAAGAGAGAGAGGGAGGAGGAGGAGGAGGAGGAGGAGGAGGAGGAGGAGGAGGAGGTAGGAGGAGGAGAGATGGAGGAGGAAAAGGAGGTGAGGAGAGAGAGGAATAGGCGTGGTGGATGCGAGAGAGGAGACGAGCGCAGTGAGGGGACGGCGCCCAGCACCCTCGAAGTCCCCTCGGCCCCGTACGCCTCACAGGAGGAGGAGGAGGAGGATGAGGAAGAGGAAGGAGAAAGGAAGGAGGAAAGTGAAGAGGAGGAAATGAGGATAAGAGAGAGAGTGGAGGGGGTAGGCGAGGAGGAGAAGAGAGGAGAGAGGAGAGTAGAGGAGAAGGAGGAAATTAGGAGGGACAGGAGAGGAGAGGGAGGAGGAGGAGTGCGAGGTAGCGGAGTGAAGTGAGTGACGAGTAAGGAGGAGGAGGAGGAGGTGAAAAGGATAGAGTAAGGAGATAGGAGGAGTAAAGAGGAGAGTATGGTAGATGAAAGTCGAGTTGGAATCGTGGTGAGATCGAGCTATGCCGCGGGCTCGGCCGCACATACGCGCAAAGGAAAGAGCTCCCAGGCCTCCAGACGAAGCCCCAGCTTCCGGCGCACGCGATGAGGCCCCTGTGGGGCCCGAAACTCACGCCACCACAATTAACTGCATCCCCCTCTTCAGCCGTCTCCACTGAAAGGGTGGCGTGATGAGAGGAGGAGGGGAGGAGGAGGAGGAGGAGGAAAGGCTGTGGAGGATGCGGAGGTGGAGGAGACGAGCGCAGTGAGGGGACGGGCCCGCCCAGCCACACGCTCGAAGACCCCTCGGCCCCGAGCGCGTCTCCACAGGGAGAAGGAGGAGGAGGAGGAGGAGCATGTTACTTCCGCCGGCCTCCACCGACGGAGCCGCCCCCGTCTTCCTCCCGCTGGCTGCCGCTGGCCTTCCGCCGCCCTTCTGCCGAGGACGAGGTGTCGGGCGACGGTATCTATAGACGTATCCATTGCTCCCTGGCCAGGCCCATCCTGCACCCAGCAGCGGTGCATGCGCAGCTCCTGGCCAAGCCAGGAGGGCGTGGCGTAGACGCACTCCTGGGTTCAGGACGGGCCTGGCCAGGGAGCAGTGGATATCCGTGCAGGCTTCGTCGCCCGAGAGGTGCCACCTCCTTCGACCCCTTCACGGCAAAGCCCCCGGAGGGCCGCCGCACCTGGCGTGCGGCCTGTCAGCCGTGGCGTGCTGTGCCGCAGGTGGCGGCCTGCGCGCTTCGTCGGGAAGCACCGCGGGGGAGCTTTTAGGCCGTCCCCATGGCGCCCGACTGCGCGCCAAGCGGACGGGTCGCCACGGTCGCGCCGCGCGCAGCGATCGGCAAGCCGCGCACCGAGCGTCGCCCTGGCCCCCTGCCGGGGGGGTCGCCCTCGCGTGCACATTAGCAGAAAAAGTGTGTGGAGACTCCGCCCATGCTGGGCACCCATGCTGGGAGGGTGTACGCCCACGAGTGCGGCATTCGCGCGCTGTGCTCTCCTCCTCCTCCTCCTCCTCCTCCTCCTCCTCCTCCTCCTCCTCCCCCTCCTCCTCCTCCCCCTCCTCCTCCCCCTCCTCCTCCCTCTTGAGGCGCCCTCGGGCGCTATCGGTCGCCAATGGGGCACTCCTTGGGCGCTGTTGGGGCTGCTGAGCGCTCTCCGGCGCTATCCAGCGCCACTGGGCGGCGCTCCTCGCCGACATACCTTCCATCCAGGACGAGCGGCTGCGTCCGCGATTGCCTATCTGACGCTCGGGCTTGCCCCCCCCCCCGCGCGCCCCACGGAAGCCGCGCACGAAAGGCCACTCCGACGAGGGGTCACTCTTACGAGCAGCCGAAGACCTCTAGGGGCTGGGGGCCTCCTCCCTACTCCCTTCTCCTCCCTCCCTCCTCCCTCCTTCCTCCTGCTACGCCCTCCTCCCTCCTCCCTCCTCCCTTCTCCCTCATCCCTTCTCCCTCCTCCTCCGCCTCCTCCTCATCAGCAGCAGCATCAGCATCAGCATCATCAGCAGCAGCGGCATCATAACCGTCATCATCGTCATCATCGTCATCATCGGCATCATCGCAATCATCGTCATCATCATCATCATCATCATCATCATCATCAGCAGCAACATCATCATCATCATCAGCAGCATCGGGAACATCATCAGCATCACTAGCATCATCATCATCATCAACAACATCATCATCAGCATCATCATCATCGTCATCATCATCATCATCATCATCATCACCATCATCATCAGCATCACCAGCATCATCAGCATCATCAGCATCATCAGCAGCATCATCATCATCAGCAGCATCCTCATCAGCATAATCAGCATCATCAGCATCATCATCATCAACATCATCATCATCATCATCATCAGCAGCAGCAGCAGCAGCAGCAGCAGCAGCATCATCGTCAGCATCACCATCATCATCCGTAGCCATGTTGGTTCCAGTTGCAATGCGGCCCGAGCCCTGCTCGCCTTGCCGTATAGCGCCTATGCGCACCGATGCTGCTGATGTGCGCGAACGGTAGGGGGCCCGCCACGTCGGTGCGGCCGCCGCAAGCTCAGCAGACCGGAGACGGCGGCGGGCCCAGGGGCGTCTGTGGGCCCGCGGCCTTCGGCCGCCGCCATTGGGGCGCGGGCCGCGGCCGCTGCCATCGCGGCGGCCCGCGGCGGCACGCCGCCCCGCAACGCGGCCAGGCCGTACGCCCTGCCCTCGCCCAGCGGGCTCTTCGCGGGAGCGGGCGAGGAGGAACAGGACTCGGCCTCGGCGCCGCGCCTCGTGGAGCCGATCGTGGAGGTCGCCGAGGCTTCAGTGCCGCGCCTCGTGGTGCCGCTCGTCGTGGAGGCGGCGGCGCCAGCACCGCGCATCGTGGAGCCGCTCATCGAGGAGGTCGCGGATGCCTCGGCGCCGCGCATCGTGGAGCCGCTCGTCGTGGAGGCCTCGGTACCAGCGCCGCACCTTGTGGAGCCGCTCGTCGCGGAGGTCGCGGGGGCCTCGGGGCCACGCCTCGTGGAGCCGCACGTCAGGGGGGCATCGATGCCGCGCCTCGCGGAGCCGCTCGCCGCGGAGGCCTCGGCGCCGCGCCTCGTGGAGCCGCTCGTCGCGGAGGCCCCGGTGCCGCGCCTCTTTGATGCCTCGGCGCCGCGCCTCGCGGAGGCGCTCGCCGAGGGCGAAGGCCTCGGCGCCTCGCCTCGTGGAGGCCTCGGTGCCGCGCCTCATGGAGCCGCTCGTCGCGGTCTTCGCCTTCAGCATCTCGTGCCTCTACGCGGTGGTCACCAAGGTGCTGGAGGGGACCTCGGCGGCAGGGCTCATCGACACTGGCGCGGTGAAGGACGCAGCCCTGGCCGTCTCATCGGCCCCGCTCTCGGACCTGTGGAAGCTTGGCACGAGCCGCGCCTCGGAGGTCGGCACGCTCTTGCTGGCGCGCGCGGCCCAGGGCGCAGCCGCCGCGCGGCAGCGGTACCCCACGCGGGACAGGCTTCTGCTCGGGCCCTTGTGGCGGGCCGCTGCGACGGCTTGGCGGGCCGCGCGCGGGCGGTGCGCCGCCGCGCGCGGGGCGCCGAGCGCGGCTCCACCGCGGGGCGGCGCGGCTGGAGGGCGAGCGCGGCGGGAGGCCAGGCGGCCCGACGAGGCCGGCGGCGGCGGCGGCGGTGCTGGCGGCGCGCCCCGTGAGGCGCCCGCGCCGAGGCGGGCGGCCAGGCGGCTCGACGCGGCCGACGGCGGTGGCGGGGCGCCGACCTGGCTGAGCCGCCGGAGCCAGCTGCACGCCATTCGAGCCGCGGGTCGGCCTGAGGGCGCGAAGATTAGACCCGCTGGACGCGGCTCGAAAATGTCGGCCGACGGCCCCAAGGCGGCCGTCGGCGGTCCTCCGTCGGGGTCCGGGAGCTCTCAAGTCCGCCGAGCCCGCGAGGGCTCGGGCGGAAGGGGGCGGCCTGACCGCGATGCTCCTGGTGGCCTCAGACACCAGGGGTCATAGCGGAGGGCTGCCCCTGTCTGGCGTCTGGGGCCCGTCCCTCGTCGCCTGGGTCTGGCTTGGGCCCCGCGGGGCCCTTGCGACCGTGCACGCCGAATGCCAGGTTGTTGAGCCGAGCACTGCTCCAAGACCTCTCCGCTATTACTCGATCATCATCACCATCAGCATAATCCGCATCATCATCATCATCATCATCATCATCATCATCATCATCATCATCATCATCATCATCATCATCATCATCATCATCATCATCATCTCATCATCATCATCATCAGTCATCATCATCATCATCATCATCATCATCATCATCATCCATCATCATCATCATCAGCATCATGCATCATCATCATCATCAGCATCATCACATCATCATCAATCATCATCATCATCATCTCATCATCATCATCATCATCATCATCATCATCAGCATCATCATCATCATCATAATCAGCATCATCAGTATCATCATCAGCAGCAGCACCATCATCAGCAGTAGCATCATCATAATAATCATCACAAGCATCATCAGAATCAACAGCATCATCAGAATCAGCATCATCATCAGCATCATCATCATCGTCATCATCGTCATCATCGTCATCATCATCGTCATCACAATCAGCATCATGATCATCACCATCATCATCATCATTATCATGATCATCATCATCGTCAGCATCGTCATCATCCTCATCATCCTCATCATCATCATCATCATCATCATCATCATCATCATTAGCAGCATCGTCATCACTAGCATCATCATCATCATCAACATCCGCATCATCATCAGCATCAGCATCATTATCAGCATCATCAGCTGCATCAGCATCGTCATCATCATCTGCATCATCATCATCAGCAGCAGCATCGGCGTTCCCATGTTGGCATCAGCATCTGTACCATGATCAGCAGCATCATCATTAACAGCATTATCAAAATCACCGTCAGCATCACAGCAGCAGCAGCACCATCATCAGCATCATCATCATAATCCATAATCAGCATCAGCATCAGCATTAGCATTACCATCAACATCGCAACATCATCCTCAACATCAGCCTCATCATCATAGCCGTCAGCAGCATCATCAGCATCATCATCTGCATCAACACCCTCATCCTCATCCTCATCATCCTCATCCAGATCATCCTCATCCCCATCCCCTTCCTCATCCTCAGCATTACCCTTATCGCCTCGAGTACATCATCGCAAACACCAAGAAGAGGCCAGCCGCGAGGAAGTCCAGCACGTGCGGCTGAAGCAGCCTGAGTAGGCCCAGAGAAAGCTCTCTCCTGCTCTGCGACTGCAATTGCGATAGCTCTTGTCGGCCAAAGGGATACGCCAATGAGAAGCCCACGTGCTGATCTGAACCGCCTGCTCTGGGCGTCGTTGAGGGGTCCCGCCAGTGACTGTCCATACACACTCACACACACAAACACACAAACACACAACCACAAACATACACATACACACACACAAACACACAAACACACGGGCTGCGACCCCTCCGAAGGGGCAGGACTGACTCAGATGACTGGATTTGAATATATGATAGTTGGTGCTGGAGCGCTTCGATTCGATCGTATCCGCCGAATGGTGGTACGGAAGGAGTCCCTCAAAAGGAACATTCCCCCAACCGTGCACGCAGTGAAAATACACATTGCACTGTAGAAGAGATATGGCTGGCCACATCATATTTTCTCGTGGCTGCTCTGGTTCCTCTGGACTCCTGACGCCGCCCAGTAGCCCAGGGTGCCCCACCCTCTGGTGGCAGCTCGGGCTACTGTGGGCCACTCCCCGGAGCGCAATGCTTTCCGGTGTCCGCTCGGGCTCCCATGGACCTCCCGTGCGCCCCCGCATTGGCCGCCCTGGGTGCCGCTTCGGGGGGTGCGGCCACGGCAGGGACGAGGACGGGAGGCACGGGACGCAGCTCCAGCGCAGCCAGGCAGCCTCTGAAACCCACAGGAGGAAGGAGAAGCAGGAGGAGGAGGAGAAGCGAGGAGAAGGAGGAGGAGGAGGAGGAGGAGGAGGAGGAGGAGGAGGAGGGGAAGGGGGAGGAGGGGAAGGGGGAGTAGGAGGAGGAGGAGGAGGAGCGAGGAGGAGGAGGAGGAGGAGGAGAAGTAGGAGGAGGAGGAGGAGGAGGAGGAGGAGGAGGGAGGAGGAGGAGGAGGAGGAGCGGGCGGAGGGGGATGAGGAGGAGGGGGAGGAGAGGAGGGAGGAGAAGGAGGAGGAGGGAGGAGGAGGATGAGGAGGGGAAGGGGGAGGAGGAGGAGAAGGAGGAGGAGAAGGAGGAGGAGGAGGAGGAGCAGGGAGAGAAGGGGGGGAGGGAGGAGGAGGGGGCAGGGGGGTGGGGGAGAAGCAGGAGGAGGAGGAAAGGATGAGGATTTTCTTTGAGGAGCAGGAGAGGAGGAGGAGGAGGAAGAGGAGGAGGAGGGGTCCCTACCTGCCCCGAGTGCAGCCCAACTGGTGGTCGCCCATCCGGTTTGCTCCTGCGGGTCCCTGGCGCTCCCCACCCGCCTCGGTGTGCAGGCGCCAATCGTCGCGGCGAGAGGAGGAGGAGGAGGAGGAGAGGAGGAGGAGGAGGAGGAGGAGGAGGACGAGGAGGACGGGGAGGAGGAGGAGGAGGAGGAGGAGGAGTAGCAGCAGGAGGAGAAGGAGCAGCAGGAGGAGGAGGAGGAGGAGAAGGAGGAGCAGGAGGAGGAGCATGAGAAGGGGACAACAGATAGGGCCTACGAGGCGCCCCCACATGCCCCGAGTGCAGCCCTCCCTGGTGGTCGCCCATCGGTTTGCTCCTGCGGGGCCCTGGCGCTCCCCACCCGCCCTCGGTGTGCAGCGCCTCTGTGCGGCGAGGAGGAGGAGGCGGAGGAGGAGGAGGAGGAGGAGGAGGAGGAGGAGGAGGAAGAGGAGGAGGAGGAGAGAGAGAGAGAGGGAGGAGGAGGGGGAGAAGGAGAAAGAGGAGCCTCACCAAAAGCCTCCGAGCCCTCCTGAGCAGCGCCATGCCTCACGCGCGCCACCCCCCGACTGCCTACCAAAGCACCCCAACCCAACCCGAGGCCACCGTCGGGCTCGTCGATTCCCAGAGGGGGGGCACTCCAGATCATCGAGGAAGCACGATGGAACCCGTACACCCCCCAACCCGAAACCCGGGTTGGTGTAGGGCACTCGGGTTGGGTGGGGGTGGCTTGGCAAGTGGAGACCGCCCTCGTGCGTGCCGACGACTTTTGGCCTGGGTCGGGGTGGCCTGGCAAGTGGTGACCCCCGACGTCGTGTCTTTGTCATGGCGTCGACCCCCAGAGGTCGGGACCCCTTCCCTGGGACCAGATATTCATCCTGGATCGTTTTGGTGGCGGCGCGGGTCCCCAGGCAAGGGCCCCCCGAGGCCGAGAATCGCGGAAAAAACTCCAGTCGCGAGGTTTTCACAGCGCGGGGGGTCTGGGCGCCTCGTGGGTGCTGCCGACCTTTCGCCCGGGTGCCGCGCCGTAGGTGCTCGCCTGGGCCCCTCGGGGTTCCCAGGCGCGTGCCAACGGCCGCTCAAGTCCCTGATGGACTCCTGCTCCTCCTCGCTCTTCATCTTCGCTCCTCCTCGCTCCTCCTCCTCCTCCTCCTTCTCTTCCTCCTCTCCTCTGCTGTCCTCCTCATGATCATCCTCCTCCTCCTCCTCCTCCTCCTCCTCCTCTCTTCCATTCCTCCTCCTCCTCCCTCCTCCTCCTCCTGCTCCTCCTCCTTCTCCTCCTCCTCCTCCTCCTCCTCCTCCTCCTCCTCCTCCTCCCTACTCCTCTTTCTCCTTCCTCCTCCTCTCTCCTCCTCCTCCTCCCTCCTCCTCCTCCTCCTCACTCCTCCTCCTCCTCCTCCTCCTCTATTCTCCTCGCTCCTTCTCCTCCCTCCTCCTCCTCCCTATCCTCCCCTCCTCCTCCTCCTCCTCCTCCTCCTCCTCCTCCTCCTCCTCCTCCTCCTCCTTCCTCCTCCTCCTCCTCCTCCTCCTCCTCCTCCTCCTATCTCTCCCGTTTCCTCCTCTCCTCTCCTCCTCCCTCCTCCTCTCCTCCTTCCTCCTCCTCTCCCTCCTCCTCCTCCTCCTCTATTCTCCTCGCTTCTCCTCCCTCCTCCCTCCTCCTCCTCCTCCTCCTTCCTCCTCCTCCTCCTCCTCCTCCTCCTCCTCTACTCCTCCTCCTCCTCCTCCTCCTCCTCCTCCTCCCTCCTCCCCTCCTCCTCCTCTCCTCCCCTCCCCTCATTCTCCTCGCTCTCCTCCTCCTCTCCTCCTCCTCCTCCTCCTCCTCCTCCTCCTCCTCCTTCCTCCTCCTCCTCCTCCTCCTCCCCTCCTCGATCCTCCCCCCTCCTCCTCCTTCGCTCTATTCTCCCGTTTTCCTCCCTCTTCCCCTCTCCTCCTCCTCCTCCTCCCCTCCTTCCTCCTCCTCCTCCTCCCTCCCTCCTCCTCCATCCTCCTCATCCTCCTCCTCCTCCTTCCTCCTCCTCCTCCTCATTATCCTCGCTTCTCCTCCCTTCCTCCTCCGCCTCCTCCTCCTCCTCCTCCTCCTCCCTCCTCCCTCCTCCTCCTCCTTCCTCCTCCTCCTCCTCCTCCTCCTCCTCCTCCTCTATTCTCCTCGCTTCTCCTCCTCTTCCTCCTCCTCTTCCTCCTCCTCCTCCTCCTCCTCCTCCTCCTCCTCGCCCCCCCGAAGGCCCTGGGTGCCCCACGTTGCCACCGCCGCCGCAGTCGCCGCTGCAGAGGGGCCGTGGGCACTCCCTGCGCTGCGTGACTCGGCACGCCAGGAACACCCAGCATCGAGTCGGGTCGGATCGGGGCACATCGGCACGGGCTCGAAATGGGATCGGATCGGCTGCGCCGGGATGCACAGCGGGGCCGCGCAAGCATCGGGCCGCATCGGGTGGAATATCGGAATCGAGTCGGATCGGGAAGGCCAAGGTCGATATCGATTTGGATCGGTTGGATCGAAATGGGCCCTGCACGCTCCACACATGCGCATCATAAACATCGGCGGCCACGGGAAAAAGTGACTATGAATGAACCGAAGGAAACCAGACGTTAACGCCAGCATCAACTTCGCAGCGTGCAAGGATGAGCACCACGCATCCTCTTGAAACACAGCCCGCTGAATGTACGGTGGAGATGGACGGGTGGCACGCAGAAGCCTCGCGAACGCGTAGCCGAAGGCGGCAGCGAGGATGGTGTGGACGAACAAGGCCACAAAGGAGCCCACGAACACAGGGACCGGCGAGTAGCGGATGGCCAGGATAAGGCCCATGAACCAGGTCTTGTCGAAGAGCTCCGCCACCCCGACCATGCAGAGAGACTTGGCGAACACCTGGTTGGTTTGCTATGCGCGCGCGCACGCCTGCCAAAAACGGTGCCCGGTCGACGGCCCCTCCCCGCGCAAGACGCAGGCACAGCGCCACCCTGCCCACACATTGTTCGACACCGGATGCGGGGAGAACGTTGCACATACGCACTGCTAGCAGACGAGTCTAGGACGAACATCAGAAGCTTGCCACCTGGGCGTCCATCTGGCCACCAAGGTCGAAGCCGTGCAGGGCGCCAACTATATCAGTCATGGTTGGCTACCGAGACGGATGGGGAATATGGACAGGAAGATAACAAGACAAAAATATGGGCAGCTGATGTCAGCTTGAGCCCTCTCAAAAGTGGAGCGAATGATCTTGAGATGATAACTCTGCATCTTTGCCGCGGACTTCCTTTTCTCCCTGGCCGCTCACCCCACACCACGTCATTCTCAGCACACTGTAGCGTCGCCCTGTCTGCCCCCCTCATGAAACAAAACCGACTAACAATTCGACTGAATATCGATTCCGTTGGAAGCTCGGACCAGTCGCATGAGTTCAGCCTGGGTCGAAGGCACCCTGCGCCAGACGCACACACGCGCACGCATGAATCACGACAAGCACAAGTAGGCTCAAGTGATCACTGGCACTGGAACAGGTGTCGAAATTGACGCTTGGGGGAATGTGACATCGCTGTCCTGCAAGCTGGCAAGCTGGCAAGCCAATGCATGGCTAGATTCCGCACACCTCTCCCGAAACACGAACCACCATGCCCTCCCGACGCATAGTAGTTTTCCTGATACATTATCCCCCCAACCACTGTATCCACATACAGCTAGGTACAAGGAGCAAGACGAAACTCAAGCTTGCATTTCTGAGCGTTGTGCAGCCGCGCAAGAAAATCGTACTACCCAGCAACTTCCACCCGACCAATGCAAATCAAAGGTGATGCCACACCCACCCCTGGGAGATCCGTATTGACCGAAGTACTGTCAATGAGATGGATATGTAAGTCTGTATATAGAAATGTATGTGCACATACACCTACATATGTACATTCATCCATTCATACATACACACAAGATACCTGCGTGCTTGTGCTAGCCAGCGTGGACCCCACGTCGTCTGTTTCTCTCAATATAGTTGGTGCAAAATGCGTGGTCAAAAATACGGTGTGCAATACATGAAGTGCCCTGTGTGAGGTGGAACCAACGTGGTGCAACCTAAGATGTGCAAGGTATGTGCTGTTACCTATGTTGTGCTAAACATACGCGGCGCAATACACGATGTGCAAACTATGTAGTGCAATCGATGATGTGCACCCTACGTGGTGCAATTGACGTGGCAATTTCAATATTGTACAATATATGTGGTGCGATATATGAAATGCAACATACGTATTGCAATATAGGTTGTGCAATCGATGTGATGCAATAGATGATGTGCACTCTATGCGGTGCGCATTATATGTGGTACACACAACGTGGTGCCGCATATGACTAGCAACCTCTGTGGGGGCAACCTACGGTCTACGTGGCGCAATCGATGGTGTGCATTGTATGTAGGGCAACCCATGTGGTGCATTCTGTGCGGTTTGGTCGATGTTTACCAACGAGCTGACACATGCCATGCTCCTGCAATCATCCCACCCACCCACCCGCAAGTTGGTTTGCTAATTCCATGCGGCGGCGATTGCGATGAGTGCTTGGTGTTGGATAGTGCATCCTGGCGGCCGCGCTAGCCCACACATGCTCGGGCGCGCAGCGGCCAGCTAGTTTGGCGCGACCGACGCGGCCGCGGTGGCGCTGACCGCTGGGCGCATCCCAGCGGACACTTCTTTGCGAGTCGGCGGCTTGGGCGGGCGCGGTACCGTGGCAATGTCGACAACGGTAGACACGATGATGACAGCAGCGGTGCTGGCGACGATGATGACCGAGGGCACGGCCAGTGACGGCGCCGATGCTGATCAGGCAGGTGACGACGACTGTGTCCTCGCGTCGGTGATGAAGTTTTTCGAAGGAATTCGACGTGGCCGACGCGCGAGAGTAGCCCGCATGAAATTATGTGATGCGGATCGTCCGCCCCCGCCCAGCACGCGCGCCAAAGCGTTCGAATGATTCCGACATGCGGCGCGAGTGGCACGTTTGGCAGTATTCAAAAAGCATGTGTTATATAAATGAGCTTTAAAAGCGTTAAAAGTATATGGTTCCTTGAGAAGTCACAAGAACGTGTTTTCGGAAACTGATGTTGCAAAACCATGTGTGTTTTTAATGTGATTTGGACACTCTAGTACAAGACCCATGGGAAGCCGAAGGTCTTTGAAGGATCTCGGGATGCGCGCGCGACGACGCGCGCGCGCGCGCACTTCGTCCCATGTGTTGCAAAGGATTCTCGCGACAACAAACGCGAAAGGGCGTTCGAAAGACTTCGGCATGCGCGCGCGAAGCCCGTTTGGTAGCATGTTATGAACATGTTGAAAGGTGATTTCGTCTTAAGCATACGCAAGAGCGCGCGCGCAAGCTTTCTTTGAAAAAACGCTGCGAAACCATGTATGTTGTAAGGTTTTGAATACTTAATGGTGAAGCCCTTACGAAACCAAAAGTGGTTGAAGGATGTTGGCATGATGCACTCGCGTCATATTTGTTGCGAAGGGTTCTTGACAACTGCTGGTTTGTTATAAACGGGTGCGCACACATAATTTGTTTTGCAGAACATGGCGGGGGGTGGGGGGGGCGGATACCGGCCCCCTGGGATGGTGCGAATTCATTTCAGGATGGACGACGGAGCAGAATTACATGTTAACTGCAAGGCGAAAGCGGAGGGTAATCATCCTGGGGGGGATTCTTGTTTGAGAAAAGGAGAAAATACGTTGTGCGATCTACGCGGTGCATCCCACGTTGTACACTCTAGGTGGCGCGATTTGCGTGGTGCAGTATACATTGTGCGATCTGTGCGGCGCAACATACGTTGTGCGCCCTACGTGGTGCAATACATAAACGGCGACAGGGCGGCGACGACGCGGCGACGGCGACCACGGAGCCACCAGACCGCCGCGCAGGCCCAGACGACGGGCGGCAGCGACACGGCGACGGACGGGGCGGCGACGGCGATCACGGAGCCGCCAAACCGACGGCCAGGCCCAGTTTCTCTTCCCACAAGTAAGGCCCCCCAAATGCAAACACTGTTTGGGAAATAGACTTGCATATGTTTGCAAGCGTGGATCCCCAAACTTTTTTCCAGCAACCTATCTGGCGCAACCCTTGTGGAGCAATCGATGTAGCGCAATCTACGTGGTACAGTTTATGTCGTGCAAGCCATATGGTGCAATGTGTGTTGTGACATCTATGTAGTGCATTCTACCTGGCGAATTTTACCCCACCGGAATTGAAGTTGCCAACTCCACTGCTCGCGCAATCATCCCACCCACCTGCCCGCAATTTGGTTCGCAAAACCAACGCGGTGGCGATTGCCAAGAATGCTTGGCGCTGGCTGACACATCGCTGCAGCCGCGCTAGCGCGCGCAGGCTCGCGCGCCGCACGGCCAGCTGCTCTGGCGCGACGGACGCGGCCGCAGCGACGCTGGCCGCTGGGGGCCCCCCAACACGTCTCGCAGGCCGCGCTCACGCGAGGGAGCCTCAGTGCGAGTCGGTGACCCGGGTGGACGCGGCATCGTGGCGACGCCGAAAAAGGCAGTCACGATGATGACAAGAATATCGATGTTGGTGATGACGATGACGATGACGACGACAACGCCAAGGCTGATTACGCCAGCGATGATAATGGTGTCCACGCGTCGGCGATGACGGCCGTGGAAGGAATTTGACATGGCCGATGGGCCCGAGTGGCCAGCGTGGAATGAACTGACAGAAATCAAGACCCCCCACAAAGGCGTTCGAATGACTTCGACATGCGCACACGAGAACCCGCTTGGTCGGATGCGATTCGAATGGCGAGGAAGAGGCGGCCTGCATCATCCTCACAGAACGCGCAAGAACGCGCGCAAACTTTCTGAACAAAAAAAATGGCACCACCCGTGTTTCATATGTGCCCAGGACACTCGCCGTTGAAATCCTTACGAGACCAGCAATTGTTTAGCGGATTCCGGCACGCGCGCGCGACCACGCGCGCGCGTAGACTTTGCCCGATATGCTGCAAGAAACGCGCATTGTAGGACGACGTTTGATAAACGAGCGCGCGCGCATTTGTATTATTCGACGAAAGAGGAGGGGGGGTCGAACCCGGCTGGGCTGGGAAGGCGTGACTTCATTTGTCATATGACGATGGCGCAGAATCGTGCGAAATCGGCAATGTGCGAGGCTGGCGCGATAAGGCTGGGGGGAAGCTCCTAAATGTATCTCCGAAAAAGAGAATCTGCATAATACGACATATGGTACGCAACATCAAGCTAGTCATCTAGGTGATGCAATATGTCTGGTGCAATGAATACGAATAAACTGTGGGATCTATGCGGTGCAACCGGGGATATGCACGTCACTTGCCGAACTTGAATTTTTGTCAACTCCACTTCTCGCGCAATCATCCCACCCACCCACCCGCAATTTGGATTGCAAAAACCACGCGGGGGCGATTGCGATGAGTGCTGGGCATTGGCGGATGCATCTCTGCGGCCGCGCTAGCCCGCGCATGCTCGCGCGCGCAACGGCCAGCTAGTTTGGAGCGACCGGCGCGAAAGCAGTGGCGCTGGCCGCACGGCACATCCCAGCGGGCACTTCAGTGCGAGACGCGACTTGGGCGGGCGCGGTAGCATGGCAACGTCGACAAACGGTAGACACGACGATCATGGTAGCGATGCTGATGACGGTGCTGGCAGCGACGACGGGGCAGCCAGCGACGGCGCCGATGCTGATCACGCCGACGACGATGACGGCGTCTTCGCGTCGGCGATGAAAGTTTGGGATGGAATTCGAAATGCGCGCGCGGCAGGCGCGCGAGAGCGGCCCGCAAGAAGTTATTCGACACGTATCGTGCAACCCCAGCACGCGCGCAAGGGCATTCGAACGATATCGACATGCGCGCGCGAAGACCGCTTGGTAGCATGTTTTGACCATCTATAAAAAGAAAGCAATGGTTTTCGTAAGAAGTCGCAAGAGCTCGCGCACGCTTTTGTTTAACATCCGCGATGCGAAAGCCTGTATGTTACACAACTATATATATATAAAAATATACACATACATACATACATACATACTTACATATATATATGTATATAGATATATGCACGCTCGATCTTGACAGGCTTCCGAAACCAGAAGTGTTTGAAGGGCTTCGGCACGCGCGCGCAACGACGCGCGCGTGCGCAATTCGTCCCATGTTCTGCCCGAGATGCTCGAACACAGATTGCTTTTGAGCAATGAGTTCGCGCGCATTGTAGCTTTCTGCAAGGGAACCGAGGGCGGGCCGATACCAGTTTAGCTAGGATAATGGTTCACAGGTAGGATGGACACTGGGTCAGAACCATACGCGTGCTCCACAGGTTGCCAGAGGTTTTTGAAAACTTATGATGTTTGAGGAAACGGACGCGCGAGCATCTTACTTTTTGCAAAGGAACCGAGGGGGGGGGGGGGGGGCGATACTGGTTTGGCTGGGATGCTGAAGTCACAGGTAGGATGGACATTGGGTCAGAATCATAAGCGAGTTGCATAGGTCCCCGGGGAATCGGCGAGTCCGGCGGGGGGATAGAACCTATCTCTTTTCTGGAAAAAGAGAATCTACGTGGCGCAATATATGTTGTGCAGTCAATCTGATGCGATCTA